TTTTTTTTTTGAGACGGAGTCTCGCTCTGTCGCCCAGGCTGGAGTGCAGTGGCCGGATCTCAGCTCCCTGCAAGCTCCGCCCCCCGGGTTCCCGCCATTCTCCTGCCTCAGCCTCCCGAGTAGCTGGGACTACAGGCGCCCGCCACCTCGCCCGGCTAGTTTTTTTGTATTTTTTTTAGTAGAGACGGGATTTCACCGTGTTGGCCAGGATGGTCTCGATCTCCTGACCTCGTGATCCGCCCGTCTCGGCCTCCCAAAGTGCTGGGATTACAGGCTTGAGCCACCGCGCCCGGCCTAAAACTCTGAATTCTTTTAGTCACTTTTGTACATAAAATGTTACCATATGTAAAGTATTTTATTCACTTGGAAAGATTATATCTATTTATTTGTGAAATAAATAAGTTTTGTAAAAATTACATTGAAAATTATGCCTTGTATAGTTGCCCTTTACAATTATTATTAGTAGGTTAAAAATCACCAGAAAAATTATAATTCATGTTTTGTGTTTGTGGTGAACAGGGGCGTACATACAAATCTGTAATGCCTGGCGAATCTATATATTTTTTCTTCATTCTCTCTCCCTTTATTTTTTCTTACAGCTAACTCCCAGACTAATGAAGAGGCAAGGGGATAATTTCAGAAGAAACAAAGAACTTCTAAAACATAATAAACCATTGACAATATAATGTTTACATATGTAATCCCACTGTTGAAGACACTTCAAAGATAAAGGATAGTATTAAGTATAGGAATTTGAAATATACTTTGGTAATTATCTTAGTTTTCAGCTGAGCCCAAGCAGGACTTCTCCATAGTTCTTTCTGAAACAGAATTTTTATTTAACTTATACACTCTTATAATTTCAATATGTTTATATGAGCTACCCTGAATTTTACATCCTTATTAAATTACCAAGTTTGACCATAGACTAAAGACAAAAATTATTATATTTCTTTTGACGGAGGTTTTAATCCTTTGATTTGGACAGGGAGAGATATATTTTATTTTTATCTTTCAGATAACATTAAACAAATCACTACTTTCACAAGTGCCACTGATGACTAAAGAATGAACAGTATTGAATACAAGTTCTACTGACCAGGCATCCACTACTTACGGAGACCCGCTATGGAAGAGCTGGGGAAGGACCACAAGGACTGCTGCCAAGTCTACACTAGGTAGACCAGGGAACCTGCTAAAACACCCCCTAGTGCAATCGCTGGGAAATTCATTACTAAAATGTACGAATCATCTTGCACAGTACCAGCAGATTGCACACATTACCTCCTGCAGATTGGAGTGGGAATAACTGAAAGAAAAAGGGTAATGATGGTCGGGGGAAATTGAATTTTCATGGCACTGATCTTCTGTGTCATTCTATTTGCATGAGAACAATGTTAGCTGCAGACATTACAGGACCCTAATGAGAACAGGAGCTTCTCCCGATGGGCAGGAGCCAGGATGGGTGTTGATGAAACCAATCTATCAATGAGATTTTAAAAGGTGCAATAGTCCCTGCCTTGCTCAGAGCCCATGTGGGTGGGCCTTCCATCTAAGAAGAGAAGAAATTAAGAATGATGACTTGAGAGAGTTCAAAGCACACTTGCCTCTCTGTCAGCTGGCCCTAATGATAACGTACTACTGCTTTCCTTAAAGAGCTTCATGTCTTATTCAGGGTAAATGGTGAAAATGTGGCATTTTAGAACCCATGATGTGTTTTTCTATTGATGCTGTCAGTGTGACCAGCCGCTAAAGGAAGAGTTGTTTGTCAGTTCCCATTCTCTTCAGTGATTCATCAAACAGTGGCAGTTCATGCATGCAGTATCAGAAGTGGAATAAATAACTTAACAGCTCCACACTGAACATTCACATATTTTATTAAGCTGCCACCAACCCCAGGGCAATTCAGCATGTCAGAAGACAAACTCTTCTGGGGGAGTCTCTTAGCACATACTTTTAGTTATAAGCTAAACCTACTGCAAGTATTTATTATCTAAGATACGAAAAACGTCTCTTGAGTTGCAAGAGCTAGAGCGGCATTTATCCCCTGGCCCTGTGCTTTATGTGATGAATAAACCAGTAATAATACTCATTTTTAACGTATTCAATTTGTAAACCACTTTTCCTCCAAAGAATTAAACTGTCTTCTTCCTGCAGTATCCCCAATTACATGTATTAACTTACCTTACATGGTTTGCCGTCTGTTTTTCACATACTGAACTACATTAGTGACTTGAGTGGGTAGTTCTCTAAATCATAGCTATTTAAGGGCAAGTCATAGTCTTCAAACATTAATAGCAGGGGCCATTCCTATGAAGCCTGTATTGACCAATGTGCTCATTGAGACAGTGGTTCTACTAACCACTTTTGGTTATCAACGAGTTCTACTGAATGTTGGCACAGGGGGTTTACTGGGTCCTGGCTGGTGTCCAATTCATGCGTTGCACATTGTCAACTTAAATAGCCTTCAAACTTTTCACAGTTAACCTTTTTCACTCCTCGGCTCAGTATGCAAGATAACAGCTCTAGAGTATACTTTTACTAACTGTGTTTAGGGACTAGACAACTGGAATGAGATTCGATTCATTTCATATGAGAATTTTCGGTTGTAGTTCTCATGTTTCCCTTCCTATTCATTAAATCAAACAACTGAAATATGAACATCTAGGCTAAAAGCAGGGACAATCAGGGCTATATATCAGGACTCTTGCTGTGTACTATTATTGTTTATCTCCCACAACTCCCCTGAGAAATTCAGAAATATATATGCGCTGAAATGTCATATCTAAGTGGCAACTGTTGCCCTCCAGAATAAAATATAGAAAATCTCTAATGTAGAAACAAACTGTGTCTCAAAATCTGATTTAAAATTGGCTTTAGAACACAATGTATTTCCTCATAAGGAATAGCTCCCTTCAGCCTACAATAAAGTAAAGCAAGAATACTCAAATCAATTTACGATCAGCATACCAAAAAATAGGGAAAAGACAGTTGCTTCACATGTTACTAATTGCTAACAACTCCTCACCCCATGGACTTCAACAGCCTACAGTTACCTTGTCTTTTTCAGTGAAAGTAAGGAAGATGTGTAAAGAACTGCTCCACTCCCACACAGAAGGCAAAATAATTCTTCAAGCATAAACTTGTTATAAGTTTCTTTCCTTGGAAATTCAACCTGGGAATTGGAGAATCATTAAGCTGCCATAATGAAGTAAAATAAGACTTTTAGCACAAGACATTGAAGCTAAATAGAGTTTACAGTGAAAACGTTCAATTGATTTTTAGCTATTTTAACCTTTTAATTATATGCTAACCTTAATATACTTAGGAATACTCATTGTTAAGTATGGAATCTCTTAGTAAGTTGGAATTGAATTATTTCCTGGTTCTGCTTTAGCAGCAAAATTAGTGAGTCAAAGAAGAAGAATAAGAAAGATAGGGGCACGTCGCATCTACAGACATATAATCAGTGGTGTAACAATATGGTTTTCTACGTTTAGTATGTATCAACGGCCTATTTAATGTGGATAAGACTCATCATTGACATCACCTGTAGAGTCAACACCGATTACGGGCTTCATCCCAAAGTTTCTGATTAAGTACATTTGGGATGGTGGTCCAAGAATTTGTATTTCTAACAAGTTCCCAGGTGATACTGATGTTGCTGCTATGGGGACCAAACTTTGGGAACGACTGATATAGAAAAAAATAATATAAGCACTAGAAACAGAAGAACTCTATTTGAATTCTTATCTTTTTACTCACTAATTAGCTTAATTCTTCTAATTTTTTATACATTCTAATGAATATTCTAACGAATATTTTTATATATTCTAATAAATATTTTATATATTCTAATTAATATTCTAACAAATATATTAAAAAGTACTAATCACCAGCACAAATTTGTTAAAATCAAATAAAGTATATTTTATTTACTATTTTACTAAAGTAAAATGCCTGCAATATTACAGGAGCTTAAAAATGTTAAGAATTTATTTCACAAGCACAACTGAAATCCTTGAAAGAAAATTTATCATTTCTCACAGCAACCTGCAGTAGACAGGAAAATGTTCCTCCCACTGAATTTCAAATAACTAATATGTATGACAATTGGTTTAAATAATAATGGTTTTCCAATGTCATACATTATTACATTAACAACAGTTATGTATGTATGTATGTAATGTATGTACATACATACAGTAGCAACAGTTCTGTAGTGACTGCAGAGCCAGCTGATATTTGGGGTTCAATAAAATTGGAATTGACATCAATTTAATTACAAAAAATTCAAAATGATTCATATGCATAAATATACAATCTTACATTCTTTAACACGATCTAAAGTAAAATCAAACCTGACTACAATTGCCGTGCATTTTCTACCCTTCTCAACCTGCACAGAAAGACACAAAACTTACAGCAATACCGAAGAAGAACACTAGGGAGAAAAAGCTGGGAAATCTGTGTTCCATATTGTATATTTTCTCTGTTTTCAGTGTCATGATTTCTAATATTTGTGGTCTAAAGTTTAAAAAATGAGAATAAAACTGTGCTAAAAATGGTATTATTGAGAGTTTATTTCACTTGCTACTAGAACTACTGGAAGGTTTTAGCAAACTGAAATAGTCCATACACTTTTAGGAGGTCTGCCTTAATTTTAAAGGAAAAAGAAACCATTCAACAGTGTTTGATGCAGTTGTACCATGGTGAGACCGACACTAAATGACTGGCCACACTGCGGAAAACAGAACAGACACAGTGCAGAATGGATGCAGATGGGCCATGCAGCAGTCCAGGTTATAACAGCTAGACTAGGGTGATACACGTGCAGTGGGAATGAAGAACATCATTTGGAGAAATCACTGAAAAAGTAACGTTGGCAGTTCATAGTAGTGCCTTGGATATGAAAGGAGAAGGAGAATGGTGCCCAGTGAACAGGAAAATTGTAAGTTCAGTTTGGATGATGTTGAGATGAAGAACTTTTAAAACAAAGAAAAAGCAATTCAAGTAGGCAATGGGTGATCTGGGTACAACTCAGAAGTGAGCCCCAGAGGAAGATGAAAATTTGCATGCTCTCTAGAAGGAGCATCAATAGAAGCAATGACCACAGACGAGAGTTCCAGAGCAAGAAGAGGAGAGGGCTCTAAAATGTTTAATTGAGATGGATTGGAATGAGCTGGAAAAGGGACTGAGAAAGAGGTCAGGAAGGTCAAAAGAAAGCAGAGAAGTGATAGACCATGGAAGGCAAAGATAGCAAGTATTTTAAGGAGGAAAAGGGGGAATAGTTAACAACGTGAAGTGCTTTTGAAAGGTAAAATGAAGACTGAAAATGTGCAGAATTTCACAACATGGAGATAAACTGGTGACTTTCAAAAGAACGGTTTCAGTAGAGTAATTAGACCTGAATCCAGATTGGAGTAGGTGTGTTAGTTTTCTGTTAAATAACTATCATGTGTATTTGTTTTCTGTTGCTGTTATAACAAATTGCTACAATATACCAGCTTAAACAACACATTTATCATGGAAACCTACAGAAGTCTGCATGAGTCTTACCGGGCTAAGATTATGTTGTTTACGGGGTTTCTGAAGGTTCTACGGGACTATCTGTTCCCTCGCCTTTTCCAGGTTCTAAAGGTGACTTGTATTTCCTGGTTGGCAGGCACTTTCTTCCATCTTTGAAACCAGCTAGAGCAAATGAAGTCCTTCTCATAGCAGATGACTCTGACCCCTTACCCCCTCCACTCTTTCAATTTCAGGGACTCTCTTGATTACACTGAACCCACCTGGATGATTCGAGATAATCTCCCTATGTTAAAGTCAGATGGTGAGCAACTTTAATTCTATCAGCTAAGTTAATTCCCCCTTGCTATGACTCTGATATATGCACAGATATATTCAGGGATCAGGACTCAGACATCATTGAGGACCATTATTCTGCCTTCCTATATACCACAGTCATCTAAAGTTTACTGAGCACTGATCATATGTCCAGTAATTTCATTGCCTCAAAGACAAGCCATTTTATTTATTTATTTTTCCAAATTTAAAAATGAATATTTATTTTTGAACGTTTCCTTTAGTTTCTGGGAGTATATGTGCAGATTGGTTAACTGGGTACATTGTGTAACGCTTAGGTTTGCGGTACAACTAATTCCATCACTCAGGTACTGAGTATAATACCCAATAGGTAGCTTCTCAACCCTTCCCTCACTCTTTCTCTCCCCCGTCTATTAGTCGGGGTTTCAACTGTTGCCATCTTTATGTACCTGAGTACCCAATGTTTAGCTCTCACTTATAAATGAGAACAAGGAGTATTTGGTTTTCTGTTCCTCCCATGATCGACTTAAGATAACAGCCTCCAGCTGCATCCATGTCGCTGCAGAAGATAGATTTTCTTCTTTTTACAGGTTCATACGATTTCATGGCATACATGCACCACATTTTCTTTATCCAGTCCACTGCTGATAGTCACCTTGGTTGATTCTATGTCTTTGCTATTGTGAATACTGTTGTGATGAACTTGCCAGTGCATGTGTCTTTTGGGTGGACGATTTGTTTTCTTTTGGATATATACCCAGAAACGGGATTGTTGGTTTAAATGGTAGTTCTGTTTTAAGTCATTTGAAAAACCTCCGAAACCTCCAAACTACTTTCCATAGTGGTGGAACTAATTTACATCCCCACCAAGGATGTAAAAACGTTCCCTTTTCTTCACAGCCTCACCAGCATCTAAAAACAAGCCATTTTAAAATCAACACTTTGATTTTTGCTAAACATACCTCATTGCCTGTTTTTTTCCTCTGTACATATTTATTATTGATAATTTTTTAACTTCATACTAAGAAAGAAAAACCCATGTTTAGAAATGGATAGGAGATACATTAAATTACGTGTATTTTTTCAAGTGGAAGTTCTTTAAGGGATTATTATTAGTGTGGATTATGTTCTCATAATTTTTTTTTTCAGTTTGATCCCATTATGGTTCTGTTACCAGTCTACTAAGAAGAAAATGCTCTTTCTGATATCTGAAGGGCTGTGAAGTAGCAGATGAAGTAAGCTTGTTCTATGCTGCTCATATTGACAGAGCCAAAACTAAACGTGTATACAAAGGAGATCGTTTTCTACTTCAAATAAGAAAGATTCTCCTAAATTTTAGACTTATCTAATAATAGAATAGATTGGTTTATCAGAGGTGACTGTTTTGTTGTAGTAAACATTCAAGAAAATTAAAGGGCTATCACCCGATTATAAAATAGAAATGTCAAAGGATCATTATTAGACGGAGGGTTGGATTGAATCATATCAAGTTTCATCCAAGACAGGATATACGGATTTAACTTAGATGTCGTTTATACCATGACAGTGTAGCTCTGACCTTCTGTGTGTTGTTGTAGATCATTATTTCGAAGGAAGGAGTGGGGGCTACTTCTTTCATTATTTTAGTAAAGAGACAACTTTTTCCAGTCTGGCTTTCTCTCATTTTTGCTATCAGGGACTAGGAAGTCAACTGTGGCAAAATAAAATATCTTTCTCTATTCACCAATGGTTGAAAATTCATAAAGATAAATTAAATTTTAGAAATTACGTACTTCTCAAGGCTCATTTTGGTTGTGGTACCGTCACAATGGGAACTACAAAGAATGATCTCGACCACAAAATACATGGGAAAATGGTGAAGGAAAAGGGTTTGCCTTTTTCAGTTCACTGAATGGTCATATTTCATTCATGGAACATATTCTAAGAAAGATACAATCCATCGAACATGAAACAAGAAAAAATAAAGAATCAGAATAGACATATAACAAGTAAAGATACTGAATTCATAACCAAAACAACTTCCTGCAAAGAAAATCCCTGGCCCCAGGCAGCATCATTGGAAAAGTCTATCAAATGTTTAAAGGAGATTTAACACAAATTCTTTACAAACTCTTCCAAAAACTGGAAGAAGAAGCATTTTTCAACTCATTTAATAAAACTAGACAAAGACATCAAAAGAAATGAAGACTACAGATCAATGTACTTATACTATGTGAAACAAGACAGACCGAAAGACCACATCTTAAACAATTCCATTTATATAAAAGGTCCAGAATTGGCAGTTCCATACATTAAGTAGATTAGTGGTTGTCGGTCACTGGGCACAGAAGCAAGTGCTGAGTGCTGCTTGTGGGTAGAAGTTTTTCTTCTGGGGTGAGAGAAATATTATCAAGTTAGATCACTGAAGCAGTTGCACAATTGTGAATACACTAAAAAACATTGAGCTTTACATGTTAAAAGGGTGAGTTATATGGAATATGAATTTTAGCTCAGTAAAGCTGTGTGCAAAAGAATCTATGGCATAGGAAGTAATATTAACACCAATTTTCTATACATTTGGGAAACTAGAGATGCAGTGATGTTCATTCTGTAAGTGCATCCAGTAACTTTGGGATCTTGTTAAAAGGAAGATTTGGATCCAGTAGGCCTAGCATGGGGCCTGAGATTTTATACAACGAACATACTCACAGGTGATGTGGATGCTGTTTTCTTTATGGGACACTTTGAATATCAAGGTCTTAGAGTGGCACTATCCAATACGGTGGCCACAGTCAGCGGTGACTATTGATCACCAAAATATGGCTAGTTAGAATTAAACGTGCTGCAAGTATTAAGTAGGCACTGGATTTCAAAGACTTAGTATAATAAAAAAGAATTAAAATATTTCATTAATAATATGTTTTACTCATTGCATATTGATATAAAATTTGGGGTACTAGGCTAAATATAATATTAAATTAATTTTAACTGTTTTGTTTTCTTTTTGTAATATGGAACCTAGAAAATTTTAAATTATTTATGTGGCTTACATTGTACTTCTGTTAAAGCTATTCCACCGCATTTTCTCAGTATACCAGCAAACTGTAAATAAGAAGATATTATCAGTATCAAGAAGATTCTGAATAATCTACAGCTGTGAACAGGTATCCCCTAGTTGTAGCATAAATGTACTCTACTGAATGAGTACAAAGAGTGACAGGCATATGCCCAGAAAATCAAAAGCAAAAGAGCAGGAGATTGTATAAAATGCATGTTTTCAAGTAATGTAGTAAAACTGAGGACTGTACTAAAGTTATAGTAGTAGAAAGTGTATACTGGAAATTTGCAAAGGCATTGCACTGAAAAAAATCAAAAGGATAGAATTTAAATGGAAGCAATTCCAAGAAAACCAAGAGTATTTTCATGTATGCACTGACAAATTTTACATGTACACACTGTGAAAAGGTGCAATTGATATTGTTTAATTTCTTCAGCATCATCTAAATATGCCAATTGCAAATGCAATTTTTAATGCAAGACATAGAAGAAAACACCATTTTTTGTTGAGCTGGGCATGGAAAGTAAATAAAATGTATTTTTCTCTGATGTAAAAATGTGTTGCGCACTTGGTAATGACTATGAAATAAAATACTTACGCCATAATGTGAATATAGTCAAAACCTGAACAGCAAATCAAAGTTGTAGTCTGTCAAAAAGTGTATGTTCACAGAGAGCTGTCTGTCCACATAGAATTACACTGTAGATTCACAGAGAAGATGCACAAAGCATTGAATGAGAGAAACCTTGATAACTCCAGAAAAGAGACACAAGAAAAGGCCAAAATACAAGAGAAAAACTTACTTCTCCATTTACCTTGCCTTACATAAACTTAATCTCCCTTAAGTAAGGGATTCCTATTCATCACTGAAGACCTAGATAAATAATTATTTTATTTTGGTAGCATTTTCTGAATCCACTTAGCATCACTGAATATTTGTATACAAATATTTGTATTCTATTTTTGGCTCTAATGTTGCAGTAAATTTTTATGTTCTCATATACCATTTTGGGGAGGATACATTATTAAAGGAAATAACAACTACCTTCTAAAGTGGAAATTGCATTTAATCTTGAGACTAAAATACATCCTTGTCCATTCTTTTGATCAAAAGAGGACAAGATCTAGTTCTACATTTGAGTACCCTTTTTAAGCCTGAGTGTTACATATTCTAATAACAAAATTATGATAATGCAATTTGAATTTAATTGGAAAAATAAACCCTATACTATAAAACTCAATTATACTTGTAGCTCTAACTGGTAACTGCTATGTCTTGAAAGCATCTGTTCTTAAAGTTAATTAAACTTGACTTTCACATGGTCAAATCCTGCCAATTGTAATTTCCAAATAATTTCCCTTCCCTGTAACATTCTGCCATAGAATCACATCCATTTTTGTTCTATTTGCTTTGCTTTATAATACACAACCAAATTGTCTTATTATCAGAAAGAGGAAAAGTAGGGAGCCAGTGTTCCTGTAACAAAAAAAGGGATTCTCATTCCAATATTTTATTCACATAGTCAAATTTGAAACTGAGTTTTCGGTGGGTAAGGCTTTTTTTGCACAACTTTTGAAGTATGACCATCTATAGATACTTTTCTGTTGTTCTTCGCAGGAGGAAACAAAAAAGTTTACCTGACTTTCCTGGGCACAGGCGTTTGGCTCAACATTCATTTTCTGATATGTAGAGAAGAAAGAAAAGAATCACTGCTTTAAAAAAATATGTTTATGTTAACTTTCAGAGGTTTTCTTGAGGTAAAAAGATTCCCAAAAATATTCTCAAACACAACCAAATAAATATGAAACCTCAAGTTACCTGTCTTTCTTTACATTGTACTATAAAGAATTTTTCTTTTGTTCTCAATGCAAATGGTCATTGGTTCATTTTCTCTCACCCGGGACAGTTATGTCACATCCTTGACTAATACGCACGCATTCGCCACTAAAAGACATTTTAACCGAGAGCTGTCACATCCGTCATCTCCACTCGGCCTGGTTAAAAATTTTATCTGCCGTCTTGAATTAATTTCAACCTGCTTGAGCCCAGCAGGGGAGTTTTGAGTGTTTTCGTTAAATTCTTCACTTTAAAAGAACATTAGAGTTCCCCATTTAGAGTTTTCCTCCACATCTAATTTTTGTTTCATATAACTGAAACAATTATATAATCATGTATGTGCAGAAAAGGAAAAAATCAGGAACAAATAAAATAATCATCCAATTGTGACATTTCCCCAAGGAACCATTTTCTTTTGGTCTTTCTTTTTTCATCGATTTTCCTGTTAGTTCACAAATTAGTTGTAATCCTGCCTAAACAGTACACTAAGTACAGTACATTAACAAATAAATTTGCAGATTTTAGAGAAAAAGGAAATGAGAATCACAACACTAATTGACAGTGGAATCACAAAAGCAGAAAAACAAAAAAAGCAAAATAGGAATAAGGCCTAATCACCAAAATGTTTAATAGAGATCACATCTGGGACAAGACTGAATGGAACCAAGTCAATAATCTATTCTTAAATCTGTCGCTCAACAGTTTGCTTTTCAGGCAGCCAACACAGATATTGGTAGGTAAGGAAGTTCAAGCTGTGAATTGGATGAGAGTGATGTTTGTAGCTGATTAGTGCCAAGAGACACATCTAAATCTCCTATAAGCCACTATTGACCTCTGAGAATATACATCCCACTTGACAAGTACTGAACTAGTGACAAATGTGTTGTCTTACAGACGGGTTGCAAGTTGACTTTTCTAAGCATGGAGATACCTGCTAAGAAAGCTTAGTAAGGCCGTGCATAAATACTAATTCCCCAAGCTAGCACTGCTAGTCTACATTAAATACTACTATCTTCACACATATGTTTGCCAGATACCATTAAAAGTTACTTTGGGCCGGGTGCGGTGGCTCACCCCTGTAATCCCAGCACTTTAGGAAGCGAGGCGAGCAAATCACGAGGTCAGGAGTTCAAGACCAACCTGGCCAACATGGTGAAACCCCGTCTCTACTAAAAATACAAAAAATTAGCCAGGCGTGGTGGTGGCACCTGTGGTCCCAGCTACTCAGGAGGCTGAGGCAGGAGAATTGCTTGAACCCAGGGGGCAGAGGTTGCAGTGAGCCGAGATCATGCCACTGTACTCCAGCCCAGGTGACAGTGCTAGACTCTGTCTGAAATAAAAAGGTACTTTGTCTCCAAGCTTTCAATTAATGAACTTTGGTTAGTAGTGATCTTAATATCTTAAGTCAAAGGAATAAACCGATTACTGTTGTGTAATTATAACTCCAACATTAAGCTTTCTCAAACATTCTTTTAAAAATCTCAGAGGGAGTGGATTCAGTCTATGCTTTTACTGTTATTTAATCAGGATTGAGGAAATTGTACCTTTTAATTAAGCTAAATCGGTAGTTTAAAATTCCCTATTAGATTTATTTTGTTAACCATAACTATATTATGTAATAGAATCAATATTTTGTTTTATATTTAGCAGCATTTGCTTGACATAATGGTGTTTAATATTTGTAAGACCTCATCTGATATGAATTACTTTTGTGCCTGTACTTTTTAGGAAAGAAAATTGGCTGCAGTATTAGTGATCTCTCCTGTGCTTTAGACTGTCCACACTTACTGCTGTATTGATAAGGCTGTGTTGACTAAGGAAAGGGAACATGAGAACTGAATACACAATAGTTCTTTTTATGCATTATTTTAACTTTACATGAGAAATATGAACTAAGAACTTCAGGTACTTTTCCTTTCCTCTCAAGTGTTGAGTGAAGAGACAAAGAAAAGAAAATTCATGCAGAAATTATTAGAAGAAAAGGGAAATACCTACCAATAATTGGACTTCCCCCATGCCCAAGGTAAATAAGAAACAGTGAAACACGGCGTGTCCTCTGCTTAAACAGCCATCCCAGTATCATGTTACTGAAGTCCCTTTAATCGACAGGAACGAACACAGTGGTTAAATCCAAAGTGGTAACCAAAATAGTTGATTGCCACGGGGCTTAAGGAGTCGGGAAGGCATTGAAGGAGGAAGCACAGAAGTATTTTAAACCTATCTCCTTTAAAATTTACCAATTCAGCCATCTGCCAAGTTTACAGCTATTATTATAGGTTCTTATTTAAATGATAATAAAATCACTTGCTGACAGGAAATTAGTCATGCAGGGACCTGCAGATGCACTGCCTTCTGCCCAGGCCTTGCATCTCTGCGTAAAAGTTCAAGGCTGCTCATTTGCTCAAACCGCATGGGGTAGTGAAATGGTGACAGCTTGAAGTTCTTCAAGGTATCCCCCAAATTCAACAGATCCTTTATAACTTTTAAGAGTGGCTATGTGAGTGGGAGGGAGTGTGTGTTTATAAATGCCAGATCTTCTCCCTCGGTTCTTTCATCTTTCCTTTGTTAGAGTACATATTGAAAACCCAAAGGAAAAAAAAATGAAACTATCTGCCTGTGCAACTTTTGCACAAAATCTTGGCACAATAAAATTAGAAGAAGGTGTCATATTAAGCAGTAATTTTATAATAAAATTCTATCTTGATAGTCTAGAACTAGTTTTTAAGTTACACATAGTAAGAAAGTACACCAGGAGAACATTTTAACATACAACAGTGTGCTTTACGCAGGAAATACTTCCATAAAACTTTCAGTATTATGGTGGTAATAATTAACACAATTTATTTTTGAAAGTATTTTGGTTTTAGTTTAAAAGTTTATTTAGTAATGAAACCATGAGTATTGAATCTTTTGGAGACCATGGTTAATCTGATATGACATCAATGTTAATAGTAACACTATCTGATGTTTATATAACATATCACAGTTTGAAAAGAACACTTGCAATTATTATGTCATTAAATTTCCACCCTTTGGGGCCCTCTCAAGTGGACACCAGTGCTCCCTTTTTGTGGATGAAGATACTGAGCCTCAGGCAGATTAAAGAAATCACCGAAGGTCATGGAACTAATAAATACCAAAGGCAGCAACCCGTCTCAGATTTTCGAATTCAAAGCCTAGAAGCCCAGATGCAGGATGCCACAACTACTAAATGAGCATTCGCTAAGCCTAAGAAAATTATGATTTAGTTAGCAAGTTGAAAAAGAAAGATGATTGTATTGTTTCTTGTTAGGTAAAAAAAATTTCTACCATAAACAGGTGCATATTGCATATATCCCAGATATGAGTCCCTAGTGTATACATTTACTAAATCTTGGCCGTTTTTCTTGTTTTGTTTGGTTTTTTGTTTTTTGAGACAGAGTCTCCCTCTGTCACCCAGTTTGGAGGGCAGTGGCGCAATTTTGGCTCACCACAACTTCTGCCTCCTGGGTTCAGGTGATTCTCGTGCCTCAGCCTCTCGAGTAGCTGGGACTACAGGCTTGTGCCACCACACCCAGCTACTTTGTTATGTTTTTAGTAGAGACGGGGTTTTACTATGTTGGCCAAGCTGGTCTCAAACTCCTCACCTCAGGTGATCTGCCCGTCTCGGCCTCCCAAAGTGCAGGGATTACAATCGTGAGCCACCATGCCCGTCCAAATCTTGGCCTTGCTAAACATGTATGCATGTCTGAATTTTGTGTTGTTTCTTTGATAAATTAGACAATTTTTTGCAATGCCATCTTTGGAAGATATCAAGCAAAGGTAACTTTGGAAAAGACCCAGGTAACAATTCATCATCTGATTTATAATTCTCTATGTAATTAAAGATATCATCTATTGATAGATATGATAATCAAAATGATTATTAATCTTGTCTTAATAATCACCCACCCCATTCAACTTTAAAAGGGGGAAAAATGGTTCCCGCAGAGAAAACTCATCTTTTGTCCCCCACTACCATGTTATCAAGCCTCCTTGTTTCCCTGTGCGCTGGGTTTGGCTCCTCCGTCGTAATGAACCGTGGCTGACAGAGGCATCGCCCTTCCTCCCTCGCTCCACCCTCCTGTGTCGATTTAAATTCAAACACGCACAGCTCATGTATAAGCAAACAGGTGCAGGGAGCAGGGGGCCGCCAAAGCCTGAGCAGGCAGAAGGTACATGTGTATCTCGCTGATTGTGGCACACTACTGATAGAAGACGACAAGCCCAGACAATAGGGAGGGTCAGCAGGTGGCTTTTTGATTTCTCTGGCTTCATGACATGGCAGCAGGCTGGGATTTTGTAGCTTGTAGAAGAACTAATGGCCTCTACCCTGTAACATTTAAGTAGCAGGAAGGAAATTTTCAGATGACTTGAGCAGCGGCTATAACTGTGCTTTCTAATCACCACCTTAGGCAGGTTAAGAGCATGACAGTATCAACTCAGAAACTCAAGATACCAAGTGTCTCAGACCACAGCCAATGTTCAATGAACAAACAGCAATAATGTCACACTGGACTTAAGAACAAATGAATAAGCATGCTGTTAGATTGTTACCATGAGAGAATATTAATTAGAAAATAAGAATTTTACCATGGCATTTACTGTGACAGAAAAAGATCTTTTCTAGCAACACATACACTGATCTGTTTATGCCATACTTATTTCAAGTCTTTCCATCAATTATCTCATTCAGTTGATGTGTGATGGAGGTTAAAAAAAAAAAATGACATTAAACCAAGAAAAGTGCTACCTCACTAGATCCATCATAGTTCTATGGTTTAATTTTTAGAGTATGTGGGAATATGTTAAAACACATAAAATCCTAAACAGTATTAACCTAGCCTAGTTAACATTTAAAAATAATGTCTCTGTATAAAGTTATTTAGAACTTCATGTCATAAAAACAACAACAACACCATCCTGGCTAACACAGTGAAACCCCGTCTCTACTAAAAAATACAAAAAACTAGCCGGGCGAGGTGGCGGGCGCCTGTAGTCCCAGCTACTCGGGAGGCTGAGGCAGGAGAATGGCGTAAATCCGGGAGGCGGAACTTGCAGTGAGCTGAGATCTGGCCACTGCACTCCAGCCTGGGCCACAGAGCGAGACTCCGCCTCAAAAAAAAAAAAAACAACAACAACAACAACAATAAAAAAAACAAGCTGAAAGACATGACTTAAAACACGGCAGTTCTTTCAGAGCATTAGCTACAAGGAATTACAGTAATATATCCTTGAAAATATATACATTTTTTGTTAACCATAATTGTTACAGCCAGAAGGTTCAAACTTCAAACATGTTTCTCAGAAATCAATTTTCATCTTATTTTAATATTTTTTTAAGGCTCACAGGCCACTTTTACTTAGAACTCCTTTGTCAGACTCCCATAAAAATGTAGTCTTCATATTATCCATTCAGCCGATGCTCACACAGCTAAAGTACACGAGTCACTCTCCACGCATCTACCACAGAGACTCCAAACTGTAAGCCAGGTAGAAAGCCAATTAACTTCATTCATTTCAATTTGAATCTAAGTACCTTCATTATATACAATATTAACATTTAAAAGCAAATGACAAAAAAAAATGTCCCAGGGCCACTCACAACTTCCTATCATAATATATGTTTTTACCTTTAGAGAGATTAAAATAAGACAAAAAATGATGACAGAAGTAGCAACTGTCCATTTTTATCATCATGTTCCACTTGGCAAGGCATTAATACAAAATTATTTCACAAGGCCCACAACTACCTGGTGTTTGAGGCCTGATGGAAAACGAAATTATATTTATCACAAAAGCATGTATCTTGGAATTCATGAAAAGTCTACTTATCTACACCTCCTTCTCCCAGTCAGCTTAATTTCTAAAAATTAGTGATTAACTTTACATTAGAATCCCAGTGTCATATACTTGTCATATTTTTCATCAGTAGAGTCCTTTCAAATGTGAGTTAATGTAGTTGCTTCAATATTTTATTTGAAGTTTACGAAGTTTAAATAAATTGTAAATCTTTTTCTTTTCAAACAAAACTATATACATATGCATGTGCATTTTATATATAGTTGAGACAAACCAAAATGTATTATTTTAAGAAGAACATACTGCAAAGAGGGTAGAAAGCTGCTGGGGGAGAAATCAGGCATGGAACAGATTCTCAAGAAATTTAAAATTGTTAGAGAGTCAAGATGTCCACATATGAAATACTCATGAGGAAAAAAATATGGGACCACTGTCTGCCAAGAGTTAAATATGGGGGACAAATTGCAAGCCCAGTAGGATTTCAAGGCAAGCAAAGGTATTAGGAGAATGTGTGTGAGAGTAAGACTTGATAAAGGAAATACTATTTAATTCTCATCCTGGGTCATATTTATTAGGGAAGTAAAAGGGACAGTTAACTGCTTAAACAAGTCAGATAAGCCACAAAGTTAGAAATAAACATTACTGTGAGACAGTAAGTGGCTGGTCTGTGTAGAAAAGGCATTTTTTGGATAGGAATTACGAAAGGAAAGCTTGTCTAAACAAGATAAGATCGGATCATGCAGGACACTGACAGTCATTGAAGGCCTTTCTTTTTAATTTTACCTGATATAATTATTTTAAGAATAGCACGTGTCATGGAGAAAGTAAATGTTTTAGGACAATTAAACTGTCAGTAAGTTTACGGAGTGGAATAGGGTAGCAAAACGTCTAGTCTAGGGCTTCTAAGAATAGTCCCAGTGCCTGACACACCAGTATGGTAAAAATATGAAGGCACTGATATAGTAAAAAACATGAAAAAAAAATGGGCAAGAAATGATGGATGTCAGAGAAATGCTGGAAGAATAGCAATATTAGGAATCAAAAAATTTAGCAAAAATAGGCACTACTGATTTCAAGTGAAAAAAATACTCTTGACTCTATTTTCTCTAGGTTAAAAATGAACAGGTCTTCAGTCCGTAAGGATTAAACACAGCTAAAAGAAGAGGCATTATGATTTTATATATACTGATGTAATAATAAGTATAAAATATAAATATTAAAGTGATGTCTGACACTTTACATGGATAAGTTGTGTGGTACATGAATTATACTTCAAAAAAGCTGTGGGGCCGGGCGCGGTGGCTCACGCCTGTAATCCCAGCACTGTGGGAGGCCGAGACGGGTGGATCACGAGGTGAGGAGATCGAGACCATCCTGGCTAACACGGTGAAACCCCGTTTCTGCTAAAAACACAAAAACTCGCCGGGCGCGGTGGCGGCGCCTGTGGTCCCAGCTCCTCGGGAGGCGGAGGCAGGAGAATGGCGGGAACCCGGGGGGCGGAGCTTGCAGGGAGCCAAGATGGCGCCGCTCACTCCAGCCTGGGCGACAGAGCCAGACTCCGTCTCAAAAAAAAAAAAAAAGCTGTTGTCTAACAAAATGGTGTCTGGCAGGTAAGGTACTGCAGCTGGCAGTTTGCTTTTTGTGTATTCGCTTGTTTGCTTGTGTTAAGACACACAGAGTCCGACTCAAATCTGGATTTGCTGGGCTTTCAATTAGTACAATCTTAGGTGAGTTACTTCATTTCTCCCGGCCTTATTCATTTTGTTTCCCATTGACAGAGTGACTGCTGGGTGCCAGACTTTGTGCTGAGGAAGTGGTAGGGAGGCACATTTGTCTTTTCACTTGTAAAAACAGGACTTCTAGCAATAGGTCCCTGCGTTGCACTGAGGCTGGAACAGAACTCTGTATGTGCATATGCCTAGCCTGGTGTCTGCCCTACCTCAGGCCCTCAGAAGAGGTAGCTGCCTCCTCCTCCCCTTGTAGCAAGCTCTAGAGGATTCTCTCTAAAGGCAGATGCAAAAGTAATAGGCCCTGTGCACCCTGAATGCACCCATGTGCGAGTGGTGACGGAACTCCTCCCATGATTAATCCTGGTAGGGACACCCACGTATTGATTTGCCTGCTACATGGACAATTTATTTTGTATTCCATGTGTGTATAAGCAACAGGCTCCAATAGCAAAGAAGACAGATTTACGAAGCCACCTGACAAAACTGCTTTTTAGCCTTTATTACAGTAATGTCCTTAAGATTAGGTTATTAAATATTAGCACTCCTCAGAAGTATCACTTTGGAGGAAAACAAATCTTTGTCTGTCTTTCTCTGAAGGGGTTCATGTGCTTGCACGTCAGTGTATGTGTTCTTGTCTTTTAAATATGTAATAAACATAAGTATCTACACAAGTGTATTTCCACTATATATTCAACATGGAAAATATATTAAGAGTTTAAGACTTTATCAAATACGGAAGAATATTAATGACAGTGTATTAACAAGTTACCTTGTTAAATGGATTCTCTTTTAGAATCCATCTTTAAATCTCTTAATTTGGAAAAGGTGTCCTCAGGATTTGGGTGTATATATGGAAATTTCTAATAGCTTTTCATATGAATATGAGAAAGGGGGTGGAAGGAAAGAGAGAGAGAGAGACAC